ATAACCTTAACTAGGTAATGAAATCTAAGATTTTTAAAAATTGGCAGTAAGTGCTTAACTTCTAAATTAATTTATATTGAAACAGATTTATTCATATAAAATAATAATTTTTTCTAATTATCACAAACTATATGCAGTAAAATATTTATCTTTATTGATTGGGAACAATATATGAAACTGAAATAAATTTCATATGAACATTATGATTTCAAAATGCATATTATCAACAAAAAATAAATCATAATTTAACTATCATAGAAAAGCCAATTTTTCATATGGGAAATCAATAGAGATAAACACATTATTAACGAAGATGACAACTAAATGAAATTCAAACGAGCTATTCATTTTTTTTAACGTTTAGTATTTCTATAAGACTATAAAAAATATAAATATTTGATGGTAATATGGTTGTGGATCATGGACAAATCACTCTCTGGATTTCAATCCTTCAAAGAGTATGAGCAGTATCAAGATTATCGGTGACGAATGTTAAATAATGTGAAACATTTTAATTTAATCTATATGATGTCAAAATGCATTAGCTAACTACCAAATTACAACTTGACTTATATAATTTATGAGTCAATGTAAGCTAGATCACCATGGAAAGTCCGGAACCACTGAACGGTCATTCCCTCCTAGTGTGGGACTCAGCAGTGTGCATCCACGGTCACACATGCGAAGCGCAAACTCAGAACTTTCGGTCTCATATGTAAACGCTTGGCCTATAGACCACTGAGCTAGTATCCAACAGTGCCAATGTCTAACTTAAATCGATCCATGAACTTGTCAACCCTTCATCCATTTTCTGGTGTAGATATTTGTTTCTACCCGACATGGATCGGACACCATCGGTCACGGCTTCTCACTAGAATTTAAAGCAATCCACCTTGAAGCCAGTCACTAGTGAGCAAATGATGAATATTATTAGGATGGGGGTTTGTTGAAGTTGTAGTGATTTTAATAGTTGAGTTCATGAGTCGATGTAAGTTAGATGGCTATTGAAAACCTGGAAGCACTGGATGGCAGTTTCATCCTAGTAAGGGACTCTTAAGCAGTGCGCATCGACTAATGAATTCAACTATTAAACTCACTACAATTGCCAAAAACCCCTATACTGATTATATAATTCAATCAACATTATTAATCAACACAAACATAACATCGGTTACTACCCAATGATCAATTATTGTAGAGAAAAATCTATAAACATTCAATTAAATAAATGTCTACCTATAAAAATAGACTAGGTAAACTGAAAGTTACACAAATAGGCGGAACAAATTATTCACAATTGATTGACCACTGGATGGTGGGTGAACAATATCATGTGTGTCAGGTCCTTCCTAGTGCAGATCGAACACTATCGACCAAGTTTCAATGTGGCCACTAGTCTAGGTGACCCGATATTGCGTGTACTATGTTGAGATAAGATGGTGGTTGGAAGTAGTCAACAGGAAACCCTGGACCCGGGTTTCATGCTATTTAGCACTCATCAGCAAGGTGTATCTGTAGTCTTGAGGGAACTGGTGCTCCCTAACGGATCTGATCCCGTGTCAACCAGCTTCACAGTCAGAGACTTTACCACTAGGTTGTCCGGGCCGTGACTGACCTCCTGTAGGACTGAAATGTATTCACAATTGATTGATCACTGGATGGTGAGTAAGCGATGTCATGTGTGATTCTTTCTCTCCTAAGAAAATAAAGATATATGGTGCATGATTTGTAGTTTATTAAACAGTAAAAGATTTCTAAGAAAAAAGTCAGAACAATGCCAAAAACTTTAACCTACTTTAAAAAAATAAAATTGACACTATTTAAGAATATTGGCCGTTTTTTAACAATGTTAAATCAGTTCACATTTATCTACAGAATACCCACCTTATCAAAGGCATTAAGTTATTCAAACTGGTTGATTAAACTGCTTAATTGTCGATATGAGATTTGGGGAAAGGACACTTACTATGTTCGAGCTCGTGAGTGAAATCATTTCATGATGTAGACTCTAAAGTGTTTGAACCTTACACTGTCATTCTAGAGATCAATATCCGTTCCAACTTAAACATAAAATCTAATGTTACTCAAAGTATCTATCTGGTTTTATTATAAGAAAATACTAACCAATGAGAGTAAATATTTTATTTATATCGTATTTTTCTTTAAGAAAAATAAAGCGGAACCTCTACCTAACTTATTTTCTATACTATTAGAAAAAAACGATTTGCACAGATATATGGTAATAATTCGAAATAATCTATTTCTATTCACAAAAACAGCTGTATAATGACACAGAATTAAAATTACACAGTTAAATTTATTCACTTCTTTCGGTCATTTAGTGAAAGATTGCCAAGTATCAGAATGCGATTTGCATAATACACTTAATCTCAAGTTCTAATGATTATTATATTTGTATTTTTCATCCGATATATTAGATTGCGTTACATTAGGCAGGCTGATAACAAATAGTTGTGGCTATCTCTAGTCAAATTCCACTATGTCGTGAATTGATGGAAAATGGATAACAATTTAATCGTCTAAAAAGATGTAGATCGCATATTACTTGATTAATTAATGTGAACTCGTATTTATAAGTGGTGTCAAGCTATGATACATTACATATCCATTATTCGTTTTTTAAGATTCATTTTTATGTGTGGATTTAGTTAGTTTTCAGAACATCCATCCTCATAAGTAGAGCTATTTAAAAAATAAACTCAAATATAATGTCATTTGTAAGAGTTTGTATTTTCCCCTTGTTAAAATTGATCAGTCTCTATGTATATTTACGCATCCTAAACAGATACCTCAGAAAAAATCATTCGGTTTCAGGTTTCTTAGTAAATTTACAATTGTATCTATTAGTGAAGTGGTGGTACTATTTATCTTGTTTTGGATTGGTCCGATGAATATACATACATCCTATTATTGATGTTTACACTGGTATTCGGACTGAATACCGATTAATTTAAACGCCAATGCATAACGTAAGTTTGTTCATCAAACAAATAAATTTGCATAAATTGACATAAACTATTGCAGACTATCACAAATTCAACTACTTACTATTTCAGAAGGGTTTTTGTGGATATTATAGTAATTTCAATGATTGAGATCATGAGTCAGTTGAAGTTAGACCACCATGGAAAACCTGTTTATCAATTATTAGAGGTTTAAAAAGTATCAACAGATTCAATCAGATATAATCAGCAAACATTTCTATTTTAAACCAAGTTGATATTTTATTTCAGTTTACTTTAATTGTATAACATTTTAATAAGTCTATTTACAATGAGAATACTCCATAGTTCAATTATCATAAAAGCTCTATGAATTTGAACTTTATTCTTTCTACCTCTGTCTATACCCACACATATACACACTCAGTTATGGTCATCATTCTTACAACCAACAAATTAATTGTATCAACAACACATTAGGTTAATTAATTATTCTAAATTCAATCATAACATAATGATTATGATAATAGCCATTTATTTGTTTCTTCTACACAGTGTAAACCCTTTTATGAATTATAGATGTAAGTTTATTATTATTATTATTCTTGTTATTATTATTATTACTTAATGAATTACACACCCATTGATTCTGATCAATGAATCACTTATTTGTATATACATCATACAGTTGTTTATTTTTGCTTTTTCCTGAAGAATTAGTTTCAATTTATTTCAAGGTTAAAAGGTCAATTCCGGCTTTAGCTTCGTAAAACAATCAATCAACATACGCTACTTCTAGTTCTTTTTTTTAAAAAAAAATAGAGAAGGGATAAACAAATAAAACATAAATACAACGATAATGATCAAATAAATTATAAATATATATAGATGATAGTTTATTCCCCCAATTAATTTTTTTATTTTGCTTTCCAAATTTGTTTATTTTACAATGAATAATAGTTTTTTTTAAATTTGTTTTGTATGTTTATTTGTTTATTGTACATGTGTGTTTATGTATGTATGTTTGTATGTATGTATGTATGTTTGTATGTATGTATGCATATGGTTGGTTGAGTAGATAAGAATATTTAAATAAAACGAATAATTTTGGTTGGTTAATTAATAGATAACTTTATAGACTAACCTATCATTTGACATTCCATCAAATTTATTTATTTATTTATTATTTTTGAATTTAAATAGATGACCTTGTAGAAGTTTTTTAATGAAATATAGACAGATTAATTAAAGACAGGCATAAAATTTTTATTCGATTTGTGGTAGGTCAATTTATGTTTTCTATTAAAAATATTCTTTTTTTAATCATCATTAATAGTTCAACTGTACACATATACACCTATGAACTTATATATGAACACTTAATACCATCAGATAATTTTTTTTTATAAATTCGTTGATGTATATAAGTTGAATTGTGAAAGAAAGAAAAAAAGAAGAAAAGAAAAGAAATAAAGAAATCTACTGTTATTATTCTTGTTCTTTATCACCTTGTCTATTAATTTATTATTTATTCATTTTCTTTATTCTAGTCATTTAATTGGTTAGATCAACTCATCTTTAATTTGTCAATTGTATGTTTTTACAATTCATTCTATATACATATATAGATACAGATACACATACAAAGGAAAATAATATGTATACTTACATACATACATACATGTTATTACTTCTCTTGTCATTTTTATCATTATTATTTTTATTCTTATTAGTATATTGAAAAGATTGTAGACAAAACACTATTAAACAAATAAACACAACGTATACTTTTCTCTCATTCTCACTCATATAATAAAGTCAATGGATAATTGTAATGAGAATTATTTCATGCTTTTTGAAATTACTAGTTTCCTCTGTGGCTGAATAATAATTGTGTATGTGGTTTATCTATTTAATAATTGATATAATATGTGCATTTGTATGTGCATATATGTATATATGATCACATAGACAGTGAATATATGAATGAATCGTCAAATTAAATTATTATTATTATAATTATTATCGATACTGTTACAACTACCTCTACTACTATTAGTAGTACGACAACGACTACAGGCGATATAATAATATAATTATCATTACATATTTTAATAATACATGCAAATACCAATACATACATACACAATCGTTCACGAATGGGGATATATGCAAATATACACATGCAAACAATTATTCAATCATCCATTTTTACAGAATGTCTATCTTCAAAATTCACTTTGCTATCATTCAATATTTAATATAATAACTATATTTTATTGAGAAAAAAAATAATTTATACTTCATAATTAACATTTCATTGACATTATTATAATTCAGAAAGACGTGAACAGTGAGGACAAAGAAGAATCTACGAGGAAAAATAAATAGAAAGAAGTCAAAGGAGTAAGCAGTTACATAATTTTGAGGCAGAAAAATATAAATATTTATCGAATTCAACATAATTAGAAATAATATCTATTCGCTTTGAGTAAACAGAAAAATCAAATTGATTTTGTGACTTTTTCTCTCCTAATCAATCGACAATTAAACCAACGAAACGAACAAGAATAATAATTGTGGATTATTATTTATTTGCTTTGATTATTCAATTTTAACTGACCGGTACTTGCGGTAAAGCTGGTCAAAATTATGCAACGTGCTAGTCCTTTAACATGGACTTCATTCAATACTAGTAGTGTTCATAATTCAATTGAATTACAGCAACATAGACAGGAACAACATCAAAAACTGTTAAATAATTTTCAGTCATTATATAATAGTAATATCACAAATAATAGTAGTATTATTGATGAAGATTCATGTCATCCAGTTGCATCAACGAATAATATTGACAATAGTTTGAGTTTATTACCATTTAATCAATTTATCAGTAATATACCAAGTTTATTAAACTCTATCAATAATAATAATAATTTGGAAAGAAATACAATATCATCTTTGACTACGACATCGTTAACAGCATCACCTTCATTATCCTCTTCAACGGTATCTACATTGTCATCGTCGTTAGCAACATTTACATCATCGGCGTCAACCACAGTCAGTGCGAATTCATCTACATCAATGAATCCATATAGCACTAGTACGGCAGCTGCTGTAGCCGCGGCAGCTGCATGGTATCCTTTAAGTTTAGCAATGGATGAAATGGCTCAAAACATAAGTGAGTATCTTCTATTCCGCTTGTATATATCGGTGTAGGATGTTTGTGAATATTGTAGAATTTTCATAATTTAAATTGTGAACTGATCTTAGAGAGACCACCACAGAAAAACAGAAGTAGCTGGTTAAGAGATCCCAGAATGGATGTGCATTACTAAGGAGTCTCATAATGGGGCGAAACAGTTGTTCAGTGTTCTCTAATTTTCAATGGTCATGCCTTTAAGGTCAGTTTGTGCCATAAACTATAGACAAATATATACGCGTATAAATGAAATCATGTTACATTTATTTACTGTTTTAATGTTTAGTATTAATGTAATAACTATTCATGAAGTATTAAGCTTAAGATCAAGTGTTTGAAAATCTATGGCTAGTTTTTAACAAAATATATATTTAACACAAGAGGTCTACAGAAATTGTGTATTCTAAAAACTAAACAAATTTTGTTGACTTGTGGATTTGTTTAGTTATAGTGTGAATATTTTTTTACAGTATGTGCTTACAAGTTATTAGTTGGACATTTAAATCTTTCTCAGTTTTCGTCATTTTAGGTAACCAGGTAATTTGTCACTAGTTTTTTATAAAAGAACAAAACATATATGTCAAATTCAACCAAATGGAACGTTTAGCGAATTGAAAGGAGGTACTCTTAGGCACATTTTCATTTTCCTTGTATATTTCATTGAAGTTTACACATAGCACCATTAACCATAAAAGTCAAATCTTTTAAACTCACAAATATAAGCAAATTATTTTCTATAAATATATACCGATATTGTGTAATGATTTAATGTAAAGAAATATATTGAATCTTTCAATTAGGACAAGATAATGGACATAATTTGCTTGTTTTTACCAAAATGTTATCTTACACATGACAGCAACATAAAAACCCTAAAAAATTATATTCTATGGTGCTAATAAATACTAATATCTTTCTGAAGTTTGTGCTGATGATGTCGTTCAGAAGAACGATGAAAGCTCCACGACCAAACCATCCAGCTCAGAGAACAAAACTCCATCAAATTACTCACATATCTATATACTACTTAAAAGTATACGATTCATATTGGAATTTCGTGAACTACTTAATTTATTCCATGCATTTGTGTAAGTATAATTAGACATGCAGAAGAATTGTGAGCGTTATTACTGATTTGTAAATATTCTAATAAATATTTTTAACAATGACCATAGTGTACCACAAGGAAAAAAGAAGTCAAAAGTCTTTTCTCTCATGATTTAATTGCTAATTTGTCTGGAAATATTGAATTATGATGGATTTTAGTTGGAGGTGATTGTGTAGGCTGCTTCAATTTGTTTGCACACTCATTCAGAGTGTCATTGTAAAACTAAGGAGCAATGGATAATTGTCGCTTCCTGTAATGCAAATATCAATCATTGTAAACCTTTAACCATACTAATGGTTGGACCCAGTGTTGATCGAGTTTTTATGGTACCCGAACTGAGATAATTGTGTGACGGATCCCGTCTATATATTGCAAACCTCATTTATTTTGAAGAAAACTTATACATCAAGAGTGAACTTTTCCGTCAGAGTTAATAACTTCTGAAATATTCCAACTGAAATCAGTTAATAACATAATTCATCAGAAACCAAACATTGATTGTCGTTTGTACGTGACTTATATTTTGTCACTGTTGATACTAGAAACGGTGGAAAAATACGAATCCATGCAAGTTGCCTCATACCTGTGTTAAAAAAATAATTGATTTTTTGTGTTTAGTAGCTTAGTAGATAACCTCTTCAACATTTCAAACTATAAGTACTGGGTTTGATCCTCACTATGCAGATCAATACTAGGATGTACGAGTGTTCTGTCTGATTAGTCCCAGAATTATATATATATCAACATTAGTGATAGTAAAACAAATTAAATATAAACATATTGATTCAGAAATAAAAAATCAGTTCATTTTAAATATCAAGATATAAGAAAAGGTAATTAATGAATGCACCCACCTCACTGAGAATGATTCTAAGTATTAATTACGATAATCGTCAGAATTTTAGTGTTTTAGTTTGTATCTATTAACATAACCAGTTGAATATCAAAATTACTTCATGGACTGATATCACATAATTGTTTGACTTTGTTTATATTTCCTCCAACCTACTTCTACACTAGCACACATTTCACGTCAAAGTAGGAAATAGTTGGGCTTACCACAATACATGTTCTAACCACCATAAGGAATAGCGACTAGACTATTGCTTATTTTTTCTATTCACAGTTAGTGTAGTGTTTTTCCTTAATAAATATTTTTAGCACTCGTTGTTGCATCGTTGTAATTTAAGTCCATAGTTAGACGAAGTTCATATATAATTACTAACGTATAGTGTTCAGATATTTCGAAACTTTTAATGAAAATCACACTACTATTAATACTTACAGTAATAATAACAGTTCATTTGATGGGGTTTTTGTGGTGACTAGTTTTGATTCGTAACTAACGTTTATTACGAATCAATCTCAGATAGGGCACTGTTGAATACTAGGAAACATTGGATAGCTATTGTGTCATAACATTGGTCTCTTCAGCAATGCATACTAACAACACTGGCCCAGTGATTCGAATGGTTAGACATTTACTGCGAGACCTGAAGGTCCTAGATACTTTTCTTGATACTGTTGTGAGTGTGCATGTTTAAGAAGTTTTATGCTAAAATTAAACAACAGTCCTATGCTTCCCAGTATTCGATGGTATCTCAACTAAGATTAATATGTGATGATTGCTACCTACAAAAATAGTCTTCAGAAGATAACTTGTAGTAATTCATTAAAACACACTCATTGTATGTATGGACAAATATTTGCATCATACTGACAATATCTAACTTCACCAAGTACTCAAACATCTAGGTCTTTGACTTGTTGTTAATCTTAGTCTAGTTTTAACTGTGCAAATTGATTGACAAAATTGTATAAACCCTACTAACTAAATTGTAGTATAATATGGTTCTGCTACTGGTCAGATCAGCTATTATTATAACCATTTCAGTTCAACAAAAAAATCAGTTATGCTTTGAAAAGCACGGTGCTTAACATCCCGCTCAATATATGTATGTCGTATAAAACAGATTTAAATTTAACGGCGAACATTAATCCCCGCAAGATTAATATTAATCATATCCATCTTTTTGGTAATTATTAACAGGCATGAAGCCAATACTTTGATATTCTTCATTTCTATATAATATACATAAATTGTGGTGTTACTAGAAACAAAAAACTTATGTACCAAATAAATAAGGGGAATATATATTGTGAAGAAATAAAGGATTGAAGAGCAGTACAGTAAAGAAAAACGCGTTCACATCAATGCTAAATAAGAGAGGATGCAGTTTTAAATAATATTACCAAATAAGAATTCTACCAGTCAAATGGGTCCATTTCACTTCTGGATTATATTCTAAGTCATGGCTGATAAAGTATCAGGCCAATGAGCTGCGTCATCTCTAGATCCCCAACTAGGAAATAGTGATGAACTGATTAATCCCAATTCTACATGGCTTTCATTGTTATTCCGGAGCCACTTCATGGTCAACCTTTTGCTTTCTTCACCTAATCCTAGAGTTGGTAATTAACACTCAACATCCATATTAGTCAGTTTTTTTTCAACCATCTAACAGTAGAGATTTTGACAGTAATAAAAAGTTCAATATACCTATTTGTTAGTGTAAAGGGTTTGTGGAGAGGGCTGTATAGTGTAGCTCATAATATGTATTAATTCTTGTTAAACAACCATTAAAAACAGGGTGGACTACATAGCTGTTTCGCCATACAATGGGACTCCCTGGCAATGCGCACCCATGAACCCATTGCAGAGGTTTGAAACTAGGGCGGCAAGTCTTTAACCTTTAGACCACTGAGTCGGAAACTAGCGATTTACATGTTTAACTTCAAAATGCATGTACATAGAGATAGGTCAAATATGCCATCTATTGATTACTTTGTTTTTAAATTTGTTAAAATTTCACAAGATGATAAATTACACAAGCACAGATCAGAATTGGCACATCAAATGTTATATTTCCTAAGTTGCTGCTATTACTGCTATACTTAATGTTGATCGCTTTTCAAATTTCAAATGAATGTCAATTATGACCTTCGATTTGCTGTATGTGCGTGAGCGTTGGTCTGCCTGTGTAAATGTTCAAAATACATTTACATACACGTTAGTTACATACTTAATATATAATAAGTACATGCATTATGATGTGTCTCTGTAGGAATTTTTCAGTAGAATCAATATTAATAACAATTGTCAACCGTTTGTCAATATAATGTTGACCCATTAATTCACGATAAGCTGTTTTTTCCTTTCTGTTTTCTTTCTTCTTTTTTCATCAATGTAATTATTATTATTTTGTCCATCATCTTTTGACAGATGGTAATAATAATTTTTTTTCGTAAATTGAGAGCAAGGGTGGAATATTATTTTTAATAAATGGTAAAAGGCCATATACTTTCAGCACAAAAAGCTTTGTAAGTGGCATTCATCATTAACTAACTTTAAGGGGGCTTGCCACTGAAAACAAGGAAGAACTGATGAAAATTTTTTTTCGACGGTTCAGGAAATGTTCAACAAGTAGATGAGTTCCATAATTGAAAGAAACAATTTTTTTAGCACTCTGTAGTATTTAATGATACCTAAATTGAGGTCATTTCATGAAAAGAAAGCCTTTATAAATTAAATTAAATTCCTATAATTAAACTTTTTTCTATGGTAATACTATCGATTATTGAAAGTTAAGTAACATACAATGAGATGATTTATGGAGAATTTAATTAAATTGGACAAATAGTTGTCATTAAAAACTGGAAAAAAATATTAAAAAAACCGTAGTTATCACTGAACAATTCCTTAATCCTGTCTTAGAACTTTTAAGAAATTAATATTTCATAAAACAATAAATAAGTAATATTCACCTGTTGTATGAATTGTGATAAAATTCAGTTAATCAAATAAGTAATT